TCTGAACTTCAGGGTTAATATTGATGTTTCTTACCCTAAATAGCACTTGCCATCGGCAGTAAAACGAACAATACCAGTTAAAAAGATAGTATTATCATCTTGAATGGTCAGAACTTGGCCAGCGACACCATCCATCTTTTGCCTCCATTTGACCATCACCAGTCATTGGTCTCCAATTCTCAAGGGAAAACTTCCAGCAAGACATTCAGAATACTAGCCATCACGGTCAGTGTGATGCTACTGACCGCGAATGGGAGGTGATGAACAACACGGTCAAGGTTCAGAGCCTAGCACAATGCTCTATAGGAGAATTTTAGTTTGTGGCAAGATCGCCTAGTATGCAGGTCAGCTCAGGAGAAGATCCATTTGGAGTTTTGGGCCATAACAGCCATGCAAATATTCACTTTGGGCTTATAAAGCCAGCCAGGTGCCTACTTAGAGACCACCAACAGCCATGGTGATAATACCGGATCAAGGTATACAAATCTGCACCCTCAAACTGTATGTAGCTCGAATATATACAGTGAAGTCACAGCAGTTACTTGGTACACTACACTGAGAATATGATCTATCACGTTGATTCTTAGATTAGTTGAACACAAATCCGTGCCCCATAGAATGCAGCAGGACGATGATAATTATGTTTAAACAGAAGTTTCAAGTTCCTTTCGTATAAATTAGTACTCCTTTTGTTCCCTTTTATAAGACGTTTTAAACATTTCAGACACGCCCAAAACAGTTCAAAGCGGACTGGCTAAAACGCATTAAAAAAGAACGGAGGGAGTAGGATGCATGCATATTGATTGATTACAAAAAACTACAGATATAAATTTTTTTGAAGGAAATGACAAAACCATAGATGCATATTTCTGAATCATAGGTATTAGAAGGGGAAGAATGACATGGGGACTACTGAAATTCATATACCAAGATTAACACACAACGCGTTTTAGCTATGCCTGGGCCGACTACGACTCGGATTCGAATTGCTTCCCGCCACTTTTCTCTCTCCCGCGTCTCTTCTTTCTTGCCTGCTCCGTTTCCCCAATTCCCGATCTAGCTCACCTCGCCCTCCCATCAGCATCCCTCGATCCATCTGACCTCGCCCTCCCTCGATCGTTGCTCTCGCGATTCCACGGCCAACCATGGGCGGCACCACGGTGCTCCCGCCGTCTCTGCTCCCGCGCCGTAGCGCCGCCGCTGGCGACCTCCACTCCTGCTCCTCCCGCGTGCGCGTGAATCCCGCCTTGATGGCGAATCCCGCCGCTGCCAAGAGGCCGAAGCGGCCCATGTCCGTGTGCGACGGGCAGCCGCCGGCGAAGCGCGTACGCGGTGCCTGCTCCGGAGGCGAGCTCCATGTCGCGGTGGCCGCCAACATCAAGAACAGCAAGCTTCCATGTCCCAGCAACGGCAAGGATCCGAAGAATCTCCACTCCTCTGTGATCAAGAACCAGGTCGCCCAATCTCCGGCGAGCTCGACGCAATCGAAGCCGCCGATCAGCATACGCCAAGTGATCGAGAACGCTCGCCTCGCCATGGATTGGGCGCACCCTGCCTCCGAAGAAGAGGCCAGCCGTCGGCGGGACATCGAGCATAGCAGAGCGGAGGCCCGGCGAAAGGTGGAGCAGATGGTGGACACGGTGCAGTTCAACGACCCCTGGATCCATCACTCCGACGTGACCAAGTCCCCTGAGGAGCTGCTCCAAGCAAGACAGCAAGCTTGGCGTTATCAAGCTCACCGCATCGAGATGGCTCGTCGACGGGACTTTGCTCAAGCGATGCAAATCCACAGATGTGTGGTCAAGTGATCGAAGCAGAGGAAGCAGAGTCAGCAAAGGTTGCAAGTGTGTAGGAGTATTTCACTGGCATGCTTTTCAGTAGTGCGAGTGAATTTGGCCATCAATTAGTGTGCATTATGATCACAATTGATCAATTAATGCAAGGGATTTGTTCCATGTAAAAGCATTGGATCAGTCTGTTGTAGTATGTTTTATGTAAAAGCATTGGATGTGATGATCCCACCAAGAAGATCACTTCTGTGCTTGAACTACTACTCCAGATAACTTCTGTTGTAGTATGTCTGCTTGCTGAACTTCTGAGCCTGATGCAGAATTTACTTGTCGCATCAGGAAGACGCCAAAAAGCCTGTTTCATTCAGACAATTGGTGTATATGCTATTTTCCTGGAGAAGAACAGATATGTTGTCTGAATTTCATATTCATTGGCATGGATCCAGTGAGGTAAGGGAATTATATCATCTGAATTTAGCTTCATTCAAAATCAAGTCAATCACAATGAGAAACGTTGGCAACATACACATGTATTGCAATTCTTCCTCCTCTGTAGGAATCTTGTGGTCAGGCCTACTTTTAGCATAGCTTGCAACGTCAAGATGATGTAGACACAGAACAACACGGTCGAGGTTCAGAGCCTAGCACAATGCTCTAGGAGAATTTTAGCTTGTGGCAAGATCGTCTAGTATGCAGGTCAGCTCGGGAGATCCATTTGGAGTTTTGGACCATAACAGCCATGCAAATATTCACTTTGGGCTTATAAAGCCAGCCAGGTGCCTACTTAGAGACCACCAAGAGCCATGGTCATAATACCGGATCAAGGTATACAAATCTGCACCCTCGAATACATACAGTGAAGTCACATCAGTTACTTGGTAGACTACAAACTGAGAATATGATCTATCCTGTTAATTCTTAGATTAGTTGAACACAAATCTGTGCCCCAAAGAATGCAGCAGGACGATGATAATTATGTTTAAACAGAAGTTTCAGGTTCCTTGCATATAAATTAGTACTTCTTTGTTCCCTTTTGTAAGACGTTTTACACATTTCAGACACGCCCAAAGCGGCTAAAATGTCTTATAAAAAAGAACGGAGGGAGTAGAATGCATGCATATTGATCACAACACACTACAGATAGAATTTTTTGAAGGAAATGTCAAAACCATATATGCATATTTCTGAATCATAATGAATATAAGGGGAAGAAGGACATGTGGACTACTGAAATTCATACCAAGATTAACAACAACAAAAAACACACCACAATTTCCACGTTTTGGTCAAACATATAGGTGCTCAGATCAAAATGTCAAAAAGGGATCAACCGACGAAGAAAACCACCATTTTTTAAAAGGATACAATTATTTCCTGTAAACAGTACTACAAAAACAAACACCAAACGAGTTTCAAACTTACTTATGAACAGCGGCGATGAGCCCGTTATCCAAAATAAAACCAACCATGACGTCAACACCGTTCCTTTGTCACCAGGAACCCGATATCTCCACTCTCTCCAACTATGGTGTAAATCTAAATGTAACTTGGATGCACTTCTCTTTTATTCTCTTAAGTTTCAGGTGTAGCTAGGAACAAAATTCATCACCTCAGACCCCAGTGCTGGGGGAGAATCATTAATCCAAACTGAAGCAGTCCAATCCCACAAATACCTTGCACCATCTGCTATGGATCATGTACATAAGTTGTATAAATTGGATAAAGTATAAATATCAATTCTCCACAGATATTGAACTGTCCAATTTATGGTCACTGCAATGAAATTAACTTGCTAAGACTAAGAAAATGCCTTGCAAAGAAATTATTCAATGTGATGACCCACCCAAGACATTCTTTTCAGCGGTCTTCTTTCAAGGTCATGCGTTGAGAAATCACTGAATGTGCTCCAACCTCCAAGGAAAAGAATCACTGAATGTGCTAATGAAACATTTCTAATACCTAATATGAAGAGGAAGGTAGTCTATTAGAGCTATTCGAAAAATTAATACAATATCTCCTAGCAATGTTGGTAACTTGTATAAATCACAATAACATTTTTCCAACTGCAGCTCGTTCACTCTCCCTGCTGAATATTTCTTTTGTGAACTATTCCAAGTGACTGAATTTCAGGAGAGGAACAGATATGTGTGCTCTACTCCCTCGAGAAAAATTTACACCTCAACAATGCAGAATTTATTTGTCGCATCAAGAAGGCGCCAAAAAGCACGTTTCCTGAATCCTGATGCATACATGGATCATTGTTACCAACAGCTCATGTGTACAGGCAATTACACTGATCCAAACATCTGAATTTTGCAACTGCTGCAAATTTTGTTCAGTACAATTGCTGTAGATGCAGACCACTTTCATTTAATTAACATGGATGCACTGAGTTAACATATTCAGTACAATTGCCGCAACTCATGTGTACTTGCCAAATTTGGCAACTGCTGCAAATTTAGTTCCATACAAATGGTGCCGGTATCAAATCAAACCACATGTCACGTCGCAGAGAAAAAATACATACTTGACGACGATGGTGTTTACTTCACTGAATATCTGAATGTACATATTCACTGGATTAGAAGGGAATTTACAATGCCTGATACATAATCTGAATTCACAGTAACAACTTCAATCAATTACAACGGGAAATGGTGGCAACATTCACAGGTGTTGCAGTTCTTCCTCTTCCTCTGCACCTTCAAGTGTCATCCGCAGCTTCTCAGCTCCCTTCCTCATGCAGAGAAATCAGGAGTGCCCATTTTGACACTCTCGGAAATGACATGACCAAGGAGGAGAATAATCAATACTTCAAAGTGGCAGAGAGGAGAAGAATCAATACTTGAACAAAAGAGAAAGGGCTTACCCATGATTTTTATCCATTGCATTTTGCCATGATCAATACTTCAAAACTTCCAGCAAGACATTCAGAATACGAGCCATCGCGGTCAGTGTGTCACCGTGGACGCGCAACACATCCTGGCCCTGGCCGGACGGATTCACGCGTCTGCCGGTGTGTCCATGTGGAACTCGGATTCCTGACGCGTTTCCTTGATCCGAATTGGAGTGGAGCTCGCCTTGCACATCATCAGAACTTATATAAGCGTACTACATCCACTACAGAATTCATCGCTTTCCTTGATCGCCAAACCTTCTGCCTACCCCGCGAGACAAGAGCACCACCGAGCTCGCGTTCGCCGCCACGCCATGGCCGCGCCCACGCAGAGCAGCCCGCTCCGCCGATGGAAGCGTTTCTTCCGCGCCTTCGACTCTGTGGATGCCGCCATCAAGCCCTCCGACCCTGACCACTCACGCGGCGAGCTCCGGCGCGCCAGGGTCGACATCGTGGAGCAGCTCTGCGACGCCGCGGACGACGATCAGGCGGAGCGCCTCTGCAAGATTCTCGACGACCACATGGCGGAGTCCCTTGAGACGCTGCGACTGGTTCCGGTGATGCCCGACCTGTTGGTTTCCACGGACCTCGGCAAGTCCGTCTGCGCGCTGCGCAGGCACGAGTCGGAGCGCGTCCGCGTCCTGGCCAGAGGCCTCGTGAGCGGGTGGAGGGCGTCGATGCAGGACGAGCTCACCAAGGTCAGAGACGCCCTGCACAAGCTTGACAACATCAACATGCCGCAGACAAAGGAGATCGCCGTCGATCAGCAGCAGCAACATGTCTCCGTCGATTCTGGCATCGTCGTGAAGACCGTGGGAATCAGCAAGAAGGCGTCCCCCGCCGGTGACCGTGCTGGGCTCTGCTCCGAGGAGAAGATGGAAGCTGCGAAACGCAAGCTCTGCCAAGGTTACCAAGAAGCAGAGGACGCCAAACGGCTGCGCCACAGTTGGTGCAGGCGCCCAAGATGATGCAGCCAATCAGGAGGTGCAGCAGCTCCATGGTGAAGAAAACCTTCTCGATCAGGACGCAGCTTCACATGGCTTAGGGCTCTAGCTCAAACAGTTGGAACATTCAGTACTGCAGTTGTAACTAGCATGACTGTAATGCAGTTGCTTGCCTGTCTGTTATGTACATGATCGAAGGAAGTTGATGAATTGAAAGTGAGTTTCGGTGTTACAAATCTACCGACATGTTCAAAGAACTTGGGAAGAAATTGCTCGTCGTGTTGGGAAAGATGTGTTAGCCTTAAAGGTGAAACAACTGCTGGCCATGCTGGGTTGTTTTACAGAGGGAGTAGTATAATACTGTAACACAGTTGGAGTATGACTGAAGAATTTAGCATGCAATGGAATTAGCCAAACCCTTTCTGACAGAGCTTCTTCTGTAGTGGTATCCTCCTGCTCTTCTTTGCCTCTCCTACCAGTTCCTGTTACACCAACAAGATTGCTTCTGTGCTCGAACTGTTCCAAGTGACTGTTGTTGTTCAGGAGAAAAATAAGATATGTGCGCTCCCTCTAGAAAAAGTTTACATCGAATTTATTTGTCGCATCAGGAGGGCACCAAAAAGCTCATGTGCACTTGCTCTCTGAATTTTGCAACTGCTGCAAATTTCGTTCAATACAATTGGTGCCAATATCAGGCCAATTTCATGTCACATTGCAGAGAGAATAAATACTTACAACAATGGTGTTTACTCCATGGAATTCACATATTTATTGACATAGATCCACTGGATTACAAGGGGAGTACAATGCCTGATGCATCATCTGAATTCACAGTACTATACAACCTCATTCAAAATCAACTCAATTACAGAAAAACGTTGACAGCATTCACAGGTGTTGCAGTTTCTTCTCTGCCTCTGTAATTCTGAGGAAACCGAGAGCAACAGCAACACTAACAAAGCCAACTAGAGGCGTGCTGAGCAGAGAACCTAAACAGCATCAATCAACCCAACCGAGCATCAACGTGGCGCAACCCGGTGGTGCGGAGTAGAGCAAGAGAGCAGCAGTAGCAGCACAGGGGGGCAAGTTAAACGTACAAGTGTTGCTGCTGCTGCTGTTGTTTTCTTCCCGAAATGGCACTTACCGATGGTGACTTGTTCTGCAAAGTGTGATGTGCTCTATTTCTGGGCTTGTAACTGGCGAGTCGTCTCAACATGAGTAATCAATGAACCAAGGTTCCCTAAACTAATCCCGTTCTATGACAGGCACGTTGACCTGGAGCTACTCTCTAACGAATTTACCTGCTCCCCGACACCTCACGGTCTGTCGTTACCAACACGCGTAACGAAATGGTCAGAGTTTGTTTTTCTACATTACTTGTGTTTTAGTGCAAGCCACAACAGCTTTGAAGGACCCATATCGTTTCTATCTGCATCAATGGCCCATCATTTGCCATGCTTGACCTCTCACATAACAAATTCAGTGGCAATATTTCTCCAGGGTTTGGCAGTTGCTCCATGCTGAGAGTGCTAAAGGTTGGCCACAACAACCTTACCGGGCCTCTCCCTGATGGACTATTCAATGCTACCTCACTGGAGCACCTCTCTTTGGCCAACAATGGTTTGCAAGGTGTTCTTGATGGTTCCAGCATAGTCAAATTAAGCCGTCTGACTGTCCTTGATCTTGGATCAACTGGTCTCAGTGGCAAGATTCCAGAATCTGTCGGTCAGCTAAGATTGGAGGAACTCTATTTGGACAACAACAATATGTCTGGTGAGCTGCCATCGGCACTAGATAACTGCTCAAATCTCAGATACATTACCATCAGAAACAACAGCTTTATCGGGGATCTTAGCACAGTCAATTTCACCATGCTGGATCTGAGGATAGCTGATTTTTCGATGAACCTCTTCACCGGTCCAATTCCTGAAAGTATCTACTCATGCAGCAATCTAGTTGCGCTGCGGCTGGCTTACAACAACTTTCATGGCCACTTCTCACCAATAATAGGCAATCTCAGGTCCCTCTCCTTCTTTTCAATTACCAACAACTCTTTTAAAAATATCACAAACGCACTTCAAATGCTCAAGAGCTGCAAGAACCTCACCTCCCTGCTTATCGGAACCAACTTCAAGGGTGAAACCATACCACAGGATGAAACAATTGATGGTTTTGAGAATCTTCAGGTACTGACCATAGATGCTTGCCCATTGGTTGGGAAAATTCCTCTTTGGATATCAAAGCTTGCAAAATTGAAGATGATAGATTTATCAGTAAACCAACTCAGTGGAGCAATACCATCCTGGATTGATGAACTGGCCTTCCTATTCTACCTAGACATATCAAGCAACAACTTTACAGGGAATATAGAAGTTGCATTGACAAAGTTGCCGATGCTACTATCAGAGGAAAATGTTGCCAAGTTGGACCCGAAGTTCCTTGAGTTGCCTGTATTTTGGACACCATCACGTCAATACCGGATGGTCAGTGCTTTTCCTAGAATATTGCGTCTAGACAACAATAATTTCACTGGTATAATTCCCCCGGAGATTGGTCAGCTAAAATGGCTCGACGGCCTCAATTTCAGCTCCAATAGCTTAACTGGTGAAATACCACAAGAAATCTGCAACCTCACAAACCTGCAAATGCTTGATCTGTCGGATAACCAGCCTACAGGTGCAATACCATCTGCACTGAATGATTTGCACTTCCTTTCTACATTTGATGTTTCCAACAACAGGCTAGAAGGACCAGTTCCAACTGGAGGACAGTTTCATACATTCTCAAATTCCAGCTACAGTGGGAATCCAAAGCTATGTGGACCCATGCTCAACCTCGATTGCACCTCCACGGCAACAGATCAAACCTCCGCCTCACAGCGGCATAGCTTGCGCTTTGCACTGGTCACTGGAATCACCTCGGGAGGACTCATTGCTCTTGCATTGCTTGCGTGTTTCCTTATTGCACGGTTAGTATACTATGACCACACTGAAAATGTAGTTCCCCTTCGAAGCAGGCGGCGATGAAGACGTTTAAGTTACTCAACGGACACGGTGCTGAAGATCTGATACGTTGAACAGTGTGCTTTTCTTCCCTCTTGTACTGGATGTGGCTTAGCTCTGTATTGCTTCACGTCGTTCCCAATTCTGCTCTGCGATGCAAAAATCGCATGAGGTTAGATGTGTAGACCTCGATCGATGTAGGGTGTAATGTACTTTCTAGCACTGTCAGTATGTTTATAAAAATTTAACCAATTTCCTTACCCATATCACTGCCAGTATATGAAGTAGTAGTATTTACTACGTAAATGTGACTCTACGCATTTCATCATTGTTCTGAAGTAGCCGGTCGTCAACGCTTTCCACAGAAATCGACCAAAGAACAGTATAGGAGGATCACGTACACGATGTCAGAAGATTGAGCTCGAACTTACGATTCGGACGGAAGCGGGTCGTTCTGAATTCCCACCACAGAGCCGCTCGCCGGTGTTGCCCGCTTCGGTCGCCGGAGATGCGAAAGCCCCGCTCATGCGCGAGGGGGAGCTCGTGGGGGAAACCGCCGCTACGCTTTGCTGTGCACAGTACCGAGGCGGCGGCGCGAAGCCGGCCGGATAGAAGGAGTGGCGAGGGCTCGACGGGTAGACGGAGCACGCACGCCGTACCCGAGCGGTGGCATCTCTGTCGGCCGCCGCGGACGGGGAATCTCGCCGTATGTCGCCTGTGAGCGACCTGGCGCGCACGGCGCACCCCCGTCGCGCTGGGCGTTCGTATGGGCAGGCCCATTTTTCTTTTTTCCTTTCGTTTTTTCTTTCTTTTTCTTTTTTCGTCTTTTCGTTTTTCTTATTTTATTTATAAAAAACCGAAATTTCTTTTCAAATCTGCGCAAATTTTTTTATTCATAAAATTCAAAAAAATATATTCATCAATGTAAAAAAATGTTCATCGAATTCAATTTTTTGTTCATCGGATTTAAAAAATGTTCATCAAAATTCAAAGTTTGTTCATCAAATTTTAAATTTCCTCATCAGTTTCAGAAAATTTCATTAAATTCAAAAACAATTCACTGGATGCAAAATCTGTTCATCTTTTTTTTTTCAAAAAAATGTTCTTGAATACCAATTTTGTTCATATCGAGTTCATTTTTTTCATTAAAAAATTCATTATTAAAAAATTCTCATAAAAAATTTTGTTCATCAAAATAAAAAGGATCATTAAAATTAAAAAATATTCATTCTTTTGAAATCACGAACATTTTTTAATTCAGGAACTACTTTTGATAATTCGATTTTTTTTAAAAAAATTAGAATCTTTAATAATCCCGAATTATTTTAACATAGAAAAAACAGGGGGCGTCCTGCCCTGCAAATGGGCCGGCCCAAACTCCCTGGCATGCACCGCGCCATATAGGAGACCCCACCGCGGACGTGCGGCTGGGAGAGGGAAATGGGCCATCAGGGATTGCCATGTTGTTGGACAAAGGAGACCGAGACATGCGATTTTCTGTAACCGATTCGATGCTGGAGGCCCAGAAGGGGTAGGACTTTCTAAACCTGGAACGGCGAAACCACTGGCAGCATTATTTCTTCTTATGAGCTTTTGCACGTTATGAAGAAAAAAAGGCACAAAAACACAGATCTTTGCACTCTAAAGTTAAATATATGATGAAAGCTTACATGATTGAATATGTCTATTTCAGGCAATCATGAAAAAATGGGCTTTTCACAGTAGTGGATATTTGTGGTTATGGGCATGCTAAGCTCAATTTCCTTTTCATTCATGTTCAATGAAAAAGAGACTAGAAAATTTTAAACCATCTAGAGGAATCCGGCAGGGAGATGCTCTCTCACCCTATATTTTCTTGTTGGAAGCAAATGTTTGGTGTTATGAACTTGGCTCACTCGGTGACACCAGTGAATCACCTACTTTTTTTGCAGATGATAACATGTTGTCGGGGAAACTGATCCACCAACACCTATGGGGACCGGGCCCCTTTCGGTTCGGAGGGGGGCGGAGGCCGCGCAAAGA